TTTTTTTTTTTTTTTTGGTTATTGATTACTTTTTTTAAGAAAAACTATATTATATATATGTTGTTTGAATTTTAATTTTTCAATATTAGTTGCACAAATTTAGTCTTAACTAAATTTTAGAGTCACTTCTAAAGTTAATTTCAAAATAAAATCTTTAGTATGAGAAAGTATTGATGAATGGGTTTTTTTAAAGCATATAAAAAAATATATAACTAAAATTTAGAATTTTTTTTTTTCGAAACGATATAGATATTATATAAAAGCGTACAAATGTGCAAAAGTACAGTCACTAACTGAATACAAATACTCAACGGCTAAATAGACTAGGAGCACAAGTCAGAAGATCGCCTAGAACCGACTCCAACAGAGTAATACTACAAAAAACACAACCTACGCTCCCAAGAGGAGAATGAGAAAAAAATGACCCCAACAGGGTAATGCTCACTCGCTACTCAGGCAACACAGAGGTCAACGACCCAAACCACAAACACAAAAATGAACAGACAAACTAAAAACACAACGTAAAACAAAATGACAAACTAAAATAATCTAAGCCTCTCCATCGGCAGAACATCTGCATAGAACATAAGACATGGGCCGACTTCAAGTAGAGAACCGAAACATAGGAACTACGCCCGCCACTGCCTAACGCCTAGCAAAGACGAGCACCCGTTCTCCAACTGTAAGAAGCCACATTCACCCACCAACCGGCTAACACCACTAGCCAAGTCCGACACCGTCCCGAATTCGACTAACACCACTAGCCAATTACGGCAATGACTAACCTCTCTCGGACTAGGGGCAGAGAAACAAGGGAGGAAGGGAACTGAATGGCGTCCAAGCCCCTGCACACCTACGCTGCCCGGACGAGCGACCCACTCTCCACCCAGCCCCAAGAACTGAACCCAACCCATCACCCTCACGATGTCGAGAAGCCAGCGACCGTAGTCGCAAAATATTCCCGGTCAGAGGAAAAGAACTGAAAATCAGAGGAATATGAAGGCCCGACGAGAAGAGTCGGCCCAACCCGAAGGAAAACAAAGGCGGCTCGAGCCACAACCAACCATTGGCACTGCACTTCACCAATCTCCACCACGTCGGGACGCCGTCGGGCATCACAAAGTCCGAGCGACCTATGAGAACCCATCTGCACACCTCGGTTAAGCAGAGAACGAAGAAAACCCACGACCAAAGCCCACCGGCGGCAATTGAAGGAGCTAGGGTTTGGCGATTTGGGGAGAAGACGATTTAGGGGAATAAGACAATTCATGGGATTTAAAATTTTCAGTATGATGAAGCATTGATGAATATTTTTTTTATGCATATAAAAATTTAAATATAACTAGGCAGTCATTCTAAAAAATTTAAAAAATAAAATAAAATCTCCAAAGATCTGAAACGAACCATACCGAACCAAATTGTTTCTAATAATTCTGAACACCGAACCGAACCGAAAAATAAAAATCTCCAAACTGAACCGTCCAAATTTTTTGTTACTGTTCCGGATATCAAATTTAGTGATTTCCGAATTTTGATATGATTCCAGAGATTTCTCAATTTCCTAACTTTACCGACCCATGTTCATCCCTATTGTCCACCATGCTGTGCATAACATGGAAAGACAATTATCCCCCAATTTTATTATTTTACAACAACTAGAATGCAAAATTATTACCACCAGCTGCTTCCACCCTCCAGGTCACCAACTACTTTTTGCTGTCAATAACTGCCACCCAATTTCTCAAGAATGAAACTATATTTTGCTGCTTATATTTTGATTCTAAAGTCATGCTATTTTGCAAGTTTATGATACATTTTTAGTGTACTTGCTAAACACTTCAAGTTAGAAAGTAGAGGTCCATTATAATAATAATTCACCTCTTCAAATGCAAAGAAACCATTGTTCTAACAAACAGTCCGGCCCAACTGGTTCGACTTCCACTGTGACCATGAACAGGTCACCTCACTATAACCAAGTCACAAGTACAAGTGGTAACCAATGTATCTTTCATTTTTCCAAAAAGACATTTGTAAAACAATTGTGAGCAACTTGTAACACGCTCTCAATTTAACTCGTATACTTTAGTATTTTTTTTTTTTTTTTTTTATCATTAACCACTTAAACACTGCAAGTTTACATTTGGCAGCCACAACTACAGTTGGCATTTCTTTGAAAAGTAATCACATCTTTCGTAGACCTCCAAACCTGTCTGGCCCAGTTGTTCTTCTTTGAAGCAAGCACAGCGCCGGCTTATTTTCCCGGTCAATGCTATTTCAGTAGGTCTCTGAACTAGCCTCGGGTATCCTTCGTCACACCACACCTGACACAGTTTTATTAGACCAAAGAGAACATTTTGAGACCACCCATCCCATGCACCTACACTTTAACTAAACATACGTCACACATTTTCATACCTCCGAACCTTCTTCCTGGCTCCATTTTGAGTTACAGCTGGCGACTTCCGCCTCTTCTTTCTTTTGTTTCTCAAGAAGCTGAGAACCCCTAGCCGCCTTTGCTTCTATGCCCTTCAAGTATTTCGTGGGCTTTCCTTCTTTGTCATAATAACGGCCAATCAACTTACCCACAAATCTGTCGAACAAGTTGAGGAAAACGGGAGGATTCATGTTTTGTCATTCAATGAATTACTAAAAGAATAATCAAAGCAATATCTACTTTAATGACTAAATGATTGTAAATCAAGAGAATAGAGTCTTTGCCTAGAATATTTCATTTGTCAATCTTAACGAAAACCACAATAACTAAATGATTGTAATAAAAGAGAATAGTGAGACTTTTTGCCTAGGTTACTTCATTTGGCAATCTTAATGATCTGCATGAAGTCGTGAACAAATTTAGGGAGGGAGGAAAACAAGGCATTGCATACGTATATGTCTTGAAGTAAAATTCTCGCCAGTCCACGATGCTTTTCACCTGTGAACATGTAAAATACATAGATGAAAATTACGAACTACAAGAAGTGAAAAACAAATTACAAAAAGAAGACACGTCAGGAAAAATGATGTAAAATAATGATCAACAAGTCATGGTGTGAGGGATATGAGACTATATATGATACTATTTTTAACTGTGTAACAAGTTATTTTTAATATTATAAGTGTTATCATTTACACATCTATCAAATATGCAACAAATCTTGCAAAAATAGTAAGTTTTTAGCAGTGGTTCCTTCATCTATTATGGAAAGTTGGTTTTGCACATGACACGTAGGCGTGCTTTTATATTTTTAATATATAATTATTAATTAATTTAAAAAAAACCTGTAAACAAAACCACAAAGAATAAGTAAACAATATATATTTGCAAATTTTTTAAGATGATGTAGAGATTCTTTGATGAAAGTTTGTTAAGTACTTCCTATTTTTAGTTACTTGACAAACGTTCAAATTCATGATTTCCTACAAAAAGAGATTCCACGATTGAATATCGTGAAAAAAAACAAATGCAATGTCATTTATTAAAAGAAAAGATCAAACATAACAATCAAACAGCCCTTTATAAACAATGTCTATGAAAAAACATTCAAAAAGGTAAGACACATGTTTGCATATACAAAATTAACATTGAAGGTAGGACACATGTTCGACAGACCACCAACAACAAAATTCCCAAATTAGCGTGTTGATTGGTTTGGTATGTTCATTTATTTTAAATTCATAAAAAAAAAGTTAATAATAATAATAATAATTGTTATTAAGTACTACCTTTCTTTTAATTAGGAATATGATTTCTGTTTCAATTAAAACCATAATTTTTCGTTTAATTAGGACTATAAGACGATTAAAATTCCATGTAGGACCGTTACTTTTTTCAAAAAGTAGTATCCTCACAGTTCTTATACGAAGGGCTGGTTTTTATTTGAAGCATTATATATACATATATACTATAGGGTATAGTTCTAATGACGTATGAATACCAATTTGTATGACTTACAAGTTATTTTTTTATGATATTCATTTATTTATTCCTCATGCATTTGCATGGGCAACAATACTAGTTTATATGCGCGCGCGTGCACTCACACGCACACACGAGAGGATATGAGGCTCAATCCAATAGAACCCTTTCTTATAATGGGATACGAGATTCAATTATAGCCATTAATTTGTGTAAACAATGGCTCATATTAATCAACTGAAATTAACATTAATAGATAATAAAATTATTATTATTATTATTAAATTAATTATATAAAAAAGGAATTGATTGACCGAGCGGTCATTGACTGGCCAATTGCCAATCCGGTCTAACATATTTATTTATTATTATTAATTTAACATAATGTTTTTTATTTTTTATTGCATAAGTAATGAAACACATAATACATATTTAGTTCATTCATTATGCATGTTTTCGTAATACATATTGCATATTTTGTTCATATAAAAGTAAGGCTCCAGGTTTGACTGCACATTTAGTTCATACATAGTGCACATTTAACTCATGAACAGACATTCTCTATGAATTTAAATGCATATTTCTCTCACGAAAAAATTATAAAGATTGTTTGTTTGCGTAAAATTTTTTTATTTTTATTTTTTTGTAAATTGCATATTTTGAGTGTAGCAATCTTCCTATGAACATATTGTTTACAAAAATTCAAGTTGATAAGAACTAAATATGCATTTAATATGCAGTTTAAATTGCACTCAAAATATGCAGTTCATATGATTCAAATGAACTAAATATGAATTTTTTATGAACGAAATGTGCAACAATAATAAAACTAATTATGCATTGTTTATGAAATAAATATGCACTTCTTATGAACATGTTTAAAAAAAATGTTGATCAAAGCATAACAATCTTTTTCAAAAGCACCATATTGAACATCAAATATTATACGAGAATCTGATAGTTTAATGTATCAAAGATTTTTTTAAGTTGGAAAATACCAAATTATGGGATTTTAATGGTCTTTCCAATCAAAATTGTAAAATCGTATTTTTTTATATTTTTATCTATTAACCGAAAATAAATCATAGCCATCTAATTTGTTATTATATAGGAGTAGGATTGTTTCTCATTTTCGACACTGCGGATATTTTTTATTGTAACCTAACTATATATATATATTATATATAATAGAGAGAGAGAGAGAGAGAGAGAGAGAGAGGGAGAAGGGAGTTGCACTATGTTTATGTTATGATGCCAAATGTTGTAATCGCGGTTGAAAAGCAAGTTCACAACAAAGATGCTTAATAATTAATAGTTTAATACAGTGTGATTTATTACCATTGCTAAAGAAAGTCTGAAAATGTTAGTTATAGGCTCAAGGTACATTCTGAAGTGACATGAACGTTAGAAACTGAGATAAAAGCTATAATTAATCGAACATACACATGATGTCATGGAAATCAACTACCAGTAAATGAAGAAATAATGACAAGAGGATGAAGATAATAACCTCAGATTTTGACAGGCCATGTAGGTTATCTGTAAGTCCCTCTCCTGCATAGAAATCAAACTGAAATTTAGTACGAGTAAATATTCCCCACATGTCGTCCTATAAAAATTGTTTAAGGTATCTTCATCAAGATCTGAAATGTCCAAAACCTCAACAAAAACTTGTATATGTAATCCCCTTCTATCTCTATAGGCATTCCATCAGCTAAGAATTTCCATCAGTGATCAAACAAGAGTCAAAAACTAAGGGTTAAAATATGTAAACAGCCAATACAACTTATATAATATCAACACAATCATGACCCAAGAATTTCCTACCGGTTAATATGAGAAAACTTACACGTAAGTTAAAGACTTTTGAGTAAGAAGTTGATCCAAAAATGATTACCGCACGAGTCATAATTAACAAATTGACTGAATGCTTGCATGCCGTACCATATGGGTAAACAAAGGATTAAGAAATTTCACTCCTTAACTCATGAAAATAAATTTCAGGGAAAGAGGGAGGGGGGTGAAAAGAAAAAGGAAAGGGGTAAAATAAATTACAATTGCGTTTGGACAGGTCATCACTTCTCGTCTTTTCCTCTGTGCATGTCCACAAACAAGCACTAACCTCACATCCATTTTCTTGTCCGATATCTAACTACTTGCTCATTTGTCTTGATAGTCATTCCGTAACGAGAGGCCTACCAACAGGCACCCTCGGGCATTGGGTGGCTGGAATTTTTTCAATAGCTTCACAAATTAAAATAAGATTGCAAAATCCTAAAATTAAAATAAGTAATTTGCTGTAGGGGCTGGGGCAGTTGGCCTTCTATGAATTTTGACAGTTCCTCAACTCAAGATCGACTAGGCCAAGACATTCTTTTACTTTTATGTGAACTAAACTAAATTTTTTGTGTTCTGTAGGATTTCATTTTCTTTCATCTAAAATAGAACTCATAATGGAAAACAAACTATATGTGTTCCATTATACTCTTTTCCTCTTGTTCTCATGAACCCGGTAACATTCATTTGGACATGAAAAGGCATAAGTTAGTCAGAGAAGTTGAAGATATTTCTGAAATTGAAATACATTGTATTGTAATCCATGTTACTGAAATGACAAAATTTAATTCAAATGTACCTTATATTTTGATCAATAAGTTACATTTCATAAGATTGGGTAATTGATTATTCCTTAACTTTTTTATAAATCTGGAGGTCCATTTTTCTTGAAGCCAACCCTTTAAGATGCATGATGGCTTATAGAAAAATAAATTTTACATTACTAAGTTAAACATCCCTAATACGGAAATTATACGTTCCTGTACAAGTCATATTTGATTAGGAATAAGAACATGATGTAAGTTGTACTGCCGTCGTTATTACATCTAAATACATGACTGAGCTATACAAGAGATGGATGCACAAAAGTAAGGCAAGTATACCTGTAAAATTTCCAGAGACAAATGCACGGGAAGCATCCCTATGAAAATCAACCACCAAGATCAATGACAGTTATAATATTTCGTCAACTAAGTTTGACAACATAATTAAATGCATCATAATTAAACCTTAACAGGAGCAACATTCACTATGTGAAATTCTTTAAATACTCAGGGAAATCAAATGCTGGTGACTGATAGTCATCCTACAATTATAAAGTCATGATAACATCAAAAGCAAATGCACATGCACTAACAAGTAACAACACAAACACAAATATACTTGCATTATAAAATATATTTGCAGGATTTGGTTTCAAATAAGAACTACCTTAAAAGTTAAAATATGAACATGGTTCAAATAAGAACTACCTTAAAATATGAACATCAGATCAAATCCCAGCCGTTCAAATAAATTTAGAACTAATTAATTAATTAACTAATGCAAACAAGTACATTAATACATATATCCTTCTGTTCAGATCTAATTAATATATATATATATATATATATATATATATATATATATATATATATGTATGTATAATGCAGATTTACACATATCCTTCTATTAGATCTAATTGATTAATTAATTAATATACCAAAATGTAGAATTATACATATCCTTCAATATTGATTAAAAAGATTTATAATTGTGCATTCATGCATTTCTAAATGTGCATTATAATTGTTGGTGATCAGGTGACCAATAAAAAAAAAATCAAATAAAAAAATGAAACTTAAATGTCACACTATTGTCATTCTAAGTGTGCATTGATATACTTCCAAATATGCATCAACGGATTTCTAAATATGCAATGGTTTTTCGATTCGTGACACAGTTTTTCAAATTAATTTTAACCTAAACTCTTTATATAACTTTAACATAGTAAAACATTCCTTAGGCTGCAAGGAATAATATGGCGTAATTTGTTCTAAATATTTGCGTATTTTGACAAATATATTCATATTAATAAGATCGGAAACTGGATAGAGGATGAAGAAAAAGAAAAAGAAAAAGAAACATTTAAATTCGGAATCACTATATTACTATTCATTTAGAAGTTAATGGTTGCATAATCAAATAGAAAAGATGCATAATTGATGCATAATTAAATATTAAAGAAGCATACTTAGAATGATGAAAACATATTCATTTTTATAAATGGATGGTTGTGATTGATCGTTATTCTTAAGAACGGTTCTCATCAGGACCACTTCATATATCCATATGTGCATATATAATTGAAAAATTAGTTGTTGATGGGAGAATGCACCCAAACATGCACAGTCAAGCAGGCCTTACGGACTAGAATTTGGTTGATCCTACTTCTGAAAAAATTGGTTGAAACAAATGTTTCGGTGGACACGTTTATGTACATCTAAAAAATCCAAAAACTAGGTTGTGTACAGACACTCAAAATTGTTGAATATAGATCTAAGTGTGGTTTCACATGCGCATACACATACACCTAGGTTCGATACTCCTGACCAATAGTGATGCATATTCATCTTTCAGTCCAATAGTGATCCATATTCATCTTTCAATCCATGAACACAATAGTTTTCATTGTTCTTGAATACAAATCTACGTGTAGTTTCACATTACAATACACACACTTAGTTTCTGCTCGTGCAAATGGGTTTGAGATGCTTCATAGTTCATACACAAATAAAATGTTCTGCACGTTCAAATTATATGGTGCACCTTGCATCGTTTATGTAATATAATTGATTTATATTTGTTGATTCTGTAATATATACTTGCAAAGAACCATATTTATTGTTATCATGTACATACACAGTAGTTTTAATTGATAAGATTCATCTTTTATTTAATGAACAGATATATTAATGTATATATCATTTATAAATGAATACAGTATTTTTGATTTATTTACATATTGACATCTATATGTCAGGAGGGAAATCCTAAGGTCCCGTTACGGAACCATTCCAGTCGGGATTTGTAATCGTCAGAAATAGTTGATCTAACGGTTACACACACCCCGTCGGAATGGTTCCATAACGGGACCGTAGCATCTTCCAATCTTACTATATGTTTCATTTGTCTATAACTAAGGCAACCCACCCAGAAGTGATACAATCAAATGGGCAAGAAATGACTCCCATCTACAGTGGCAAATTTCTCTCTAGAGGTAAATCAATCACCAACATTGTTATGCAAGAAAAGTACCTCCCGGAAAAATGGTTGTAGCCGCCTCCGGCACCATAGTGACTTTCGCCTTTACTTACATCAAAGACGGACCTGAGTTTGTAGACGAACAAAACAACAAGATTACAAAGATTCAGATCAATCTGAAAAAAAAAAACACATTTGCCTAAAACATAAGCATTCACCCAAAATTAGCAAAAAGATGTATACCCCAAAATTCCAAGAAGAATAGGTAAAGCAGAATCAGTTCCATTGTAAAGAGCCAACTCCTCCACAGTGAACAGTCTCTGTAATGAAAAAAAAAAAAAAAAAAATTGGGGGTATTGCTCAATACTATATCATTTGCCTTTGTAATAATAATACAGAAAATATAAAAGATATAAATGAGAAATCATACAGACGGAGGTGGATTGGTGAGAGATTGGAGAGGAAAGATTCTGAAGAGGAAGAAAGAAAAAAGAGCTACGCAAATTGGGATCCCTACAAAAGGGGACCAATGCATCTTAGTTTATGGAGAGATGATCTCTGAGTGTTGCCCGTGTGCAGGCGACTGAAAATGAAATGAAAAAAAATGAAAGAGGAGGATTTGACATAGAAAAACACAATAATAATAATAATAATAATAATAATAATAATAATAATAATAATAATAATAATAATAATAACAATAACTAGGAATCTCTCGGTTGTGCGATGCATTGCACAACCGGCTGAAGTATTTATGTTTGAAGGTGTCAGTCTCATACTTTAAAAAATTATATCCAAAATTGCATAAAATAAATTGAAAAAAAAATTTACACTCACAAACACACCTAAAAACATTGGTAAAATAAATAAATTATACGTCAAAAATTTGAATCCATAATATCTATATAGAACTGTTAAAAACGACTTTTAGTTTTTAAAATCAAATATAATTGAACATATATTATTTATGTGATGACCAATTTGTCGTGAAATATGTCATGCTTATTAGATGGTTCAAAAATTATTTGTTTGGCTTGTAAAATTAGTTTGACCGCAAGAGGCCACCAATTATCTCAATTTTCAGCGTGCATAGGCGCCTGGCCTATTTTGTAATGTATTTTTTTTTTCATGAGATATCTGCCAAATTATGTTAAAATTTGGTAATATCTCATCATTATGAAACAATAACTTACAACAATTTTCTCTTCAAGATGCGTTTTGCAAATGAAATTAAGATGTGTGTTCTTTTAACAATAAACAAAACTATTATATTTTAAATGGTGTAGGTGAGAAAATGTGTCACCAAAATTTTTTTTCAGCCTTTTTTAGTGGTGGATCCACGCCTGCAGATATGGTCTAAAAAAAATTTGCATTAACTTAAACTTTTTTCAATTCAAACAGGTATGCTCGTTTTTTGTGAAAATTCTGTATCAATCACACCATACATTTTTGCATAATCATAAAGCAAAAAATAAAAATTCTAAGAACTCTACTCTACGATGCAACTCACTTCAAAGTTGTAAGATAAATTTGCTCTAATTTACGTTACAATTTCGTACGATAATGTAACGCTATGTAGTACTTAACTGTTCAGTGCACTTCAGTTTTTTTCTCAAATTTTATTTTCGTTCAAAATAATTATCATTTTTATTTATTATTTTGACAATGTACACTAATAATTGTGTTTATTTTGTTAAATAAATTAAATTTTTGAATTCATAGTGTTGCTTAAAATTTATTATATAATTTTATTATATTTCATGTATAACAAATTTAGTGGAAAAAAATCATTTGAAAATGAAATTTAGAGTAAATAAACTATAATCCGAATCGGGTTTAGTTTT